CCGGTTTGTGTTCCTATACTAAAGCTTTTTTTAGACAGATTTAAGGAAAATTTGTTTTTTTCAAATTTTTTCTTTTAGTTTATTTTTCTGTTTATTATTTTAAAGAATCCGTTTCAGTTTGTGTTCATAAATTGCTGTCCTCCATTCACGCAGTTGTGCAGCTCTGAACTGTCCAAGAACGCCATACTCTCACTCCATTCAATTGAGTCATAAAGTTCAGAACTGTTCCGCGCCATATACAACAGGTTATTGCGCACAGCTCCTTTCAGAACCGTCCTCGAGTAGCCCAGGGCGTAAAGCACTGGAACTTGAAGTTCGCGATTGGAGGACAGCATATGTTTAATAAAGTTGTTCCTAAAGAAATCAAGTTCAGTTAATTTTTTATTCCTTTTTCCTGAATAATCAATAAAATAAAATATCGCCGATATACATTTGTATATCGGCCGATACCGATAATCGGCATGATAGCCGATATGGCCGATATTTTCATATCGGCATCGGTATCTGTCAATCACTAATCTTAACCATCTAAGATTCGCTGCCACTTAATGAACTGCAAGCACAACTTAATGAACTAAATACAGCCAGCAATAAATATGAATTTAGCAAATACTATAGTAATGTACAAGGAACTAGTGGAAAGAAAAGATATACTAATAAATAACACAAAACTGCAAAAATAGTAGTAGAGAATTTGGGACACCTAATATCGGGATTTCTATTATAAGAAATCAACAGAAGAATTAAATTAGCATGGAGCACTTATGGAAAAAAGTCAATCATATTTAAATCTAGAATGCCACTCTATCTAAAGAAGAAAACATTCGACCAATGCATGTGTACTACCAGTCATGACCTATGCATGCGAAACCTGGACACTTAAAACGGACATTATAAGGAAACTGCAGGTCGCACAACGCTCAATGGAACGAAATATGCCGGGAATAACCAAGAGAGACCGTAAAAGAATAGAGTGGATATGACAAAAGACCCAGGTAGTAGATGCCATCCACAGAGTCAAATCCTTCAAATGTCAATGGGCAGACACCTGGCCAGAAGAACAAACAACGGATGAAACCCACAGAAGAATTAAGGGACCTAAAAGAAGACCGAACCCGAGATGAGACCATGATATTAAAAAATTAGGAGGGATAACTTGGGCCAGCATAGCCAACAATAGACAACAATGCAATGGGCCCAAGTACAGGGA